GCCTCCCCTCCTGGCGCGTGGGGGGGGGGGGGGGTGGGGGGGGGGCTTTGGTGGCAATCGGAGACGGGCCGGTGCTGATTTGGAGATTATTTACACCCTTGCCGCGGTGATTTGGCCACAGATTTGATTAGCGAGCCCGCACTCTGTGTAATCAAGCTCATTAGCACGAGTGGGCAAGTCAGCCTATAAATTTGGCCGTTTCAAGTGCATTAATCGATGCCAATCAATCGGGCATCTGGGCTAACATCTCGTAAGTCAGCCAGAGACAAGGATGCACTGCCCACCCGCCCGTCCGCTCTCTCTTCCCCGGCCATTGCGATTTGATCCTTTGATTCCCAAATCTTGATCTCGGCCCTCAAATTTTATCAGTGGAGTGGCTGTTTCTAGGCTGAGCCTGCCAAGCAAAACTCGAAATCAGGGTGAATCAGGCTTGCGTTTGCATTTAATCCTTGGGGCTCAAGCGGAGATACTCACACCGAGCTACTTCCCATCCAGCACTGACTCTGTTAGCTGCACACTAGAGCTACAAAGATACAAGGACGGCGTGTTTAGCACCGAGAGAGTTTCGCGAGGCGCGGATGGCTAAAATCCCCCGGGGTGCTGCCCTGGCTCGAGGTGGAAATGTCTCTTTGTGCCCACAGGAGCGAGACACCGGGCAGACGGCCTCGCGAAACCCGACGCGATGCCCGCGTGGAGATGCAGCAGTGACAGCAAGGGATAACAAACGTCTTTCCGGAGCGGCGCTGACACCGTGTTTTGGCATTGTGGGACTGGAGGCCGCCCTGGGGCGGTACGTACGTACCCTCTCTTCCTCGCTATGCAGCCGCACCACCCGCGGACCTCTTTGACCACCACCCGAGCGAGGAGCTGCAAGAGGAAAAGTGGAGGATCACCACGGGGCCGACGGCTCTGCAGCCGCCAGCCTCGGCAGGAGCGTTTCCATCGCCAGGAGATAAATTTTAAGGCTCTTCCTAAGGAAGATCGCGTGAACTAAAACCGTGCGTGAAGGAGGTCGTTGGGAAAAGCCGAGTGGATGGAGGCAAAGGTTTGGGGTCGATACGGGGCTTTGCAATTCGCCCTGTGCCCAGCTGTCTCCCGAGGACCGTCCCTGCCCTCTGCCGGCAAGTGGGTGGCTAAAAGGGAGCTGTTGGATAGCCAGGGTAGCAAAATGACTCCTGCCAGGGAGGGACCTACCAGGCAAGCCAAGACGTCGGCTGCTATCAACATGTAGAAGACGTTATTCCAGCCCGTGGGGGAGATGAGCCCTGCGAGCAGCGGCCCTAGCGCGGCACCTGCGAGGGCGCATGAGGCACATTAGGAGGTGCCCCGTGCACGGGGGAGAGGGGATCGGGACCCCCACTGCAGCGCCCGGGGGAAATGGGCGCTCGGCATCCCCCAGCCGTACGTACCTATGGATCCCGTGCCATCGATGATGGCCGTGACGGTAGAAAGGGCTTTGGCGTTTCCTTTGAGAGACTCGTGGGTTCCCTGTAGGGACGGAGGAGCAAAACATGAGGAGGAAAAGCGGCTTCGGGGTCTGCAGCTGGCAAGTCCTAGCGTGAGGCCGCTCACACCCCGGGCAGCAATTTCCATGCCGCGTGTGCTGGTTTTGGCTGGGGTAGAGTTAATTTTCTTCCCAGTAGCTGGTCTGGGGCTGTGTTTGGGATTGGTGCTGGAAGCAGTGCTGATAACTCAGGGATGTTTTAGCTATTGCTGAGCAGTGCTGACAGAGAGCCAAGGCCTTTTCTGCCCCTCACCCCACCCCACCAGCGAGCAGGCTCGGGGGGGGCACAAGGAGTTGGGAGGGCACACGGCCGGGACAGCTGACCCCAACTGACCCAAGGGATATCCCACACCATATGGCGTCATGCTCAGCGAATAAAAGCTGGGGGAAGAAGAAGGAAGGGGGGGGATGTTCGGAGTGATGGCGTTTGTCTTCCCAAGTAACCGTTACGCGTGATGGAGCCCTGCTTTCCTGGAGATGGCTGAACACCTGCCTGACCATGGGAAGTAGGAAATGAATTCCTTGTTTTGCTTTGCTTGCGTGCGCGGCTTTTGCTTTCCCTGTTAAACTGCCTTTATCTCAGCCCACGAGTTTTCTCACTTGTACCCTTCCGACTCTCTCCCCCATCCCACCGGGGGGGAGCGAGCGAGGGGCTGGGTGGTGCTGAGTTGCTGTCCGGGGTTAAACCACAACACCGTGGACGGGAAGACCGAACTCGGACGCTGCCTGCAGCCAAGCCACAGCAAACGGGGATCGCCAACAGCGGGCCAGCAATCCCAGGTGATGTCCCAGCAAATTTTTCCACTCTGACTGTGCTTAGAGGGACGTGCAGCAGGGCCGAGGCAGTCACGTGGCCAAGGTGAAAAAAGCAGTAGGAAAAAAAGCCGTGTTTAAGGGAGGGTGCGGACCGCAGCACGAGATGTGACAGCCCTGCCCTTCTCCGCTGGGCTTCAGAGGCGTTGGAAAACGAAGCTAAAAGGCAAAAATCCCGGCAAATATCCCTCGGGGAAAGAGGGAGCCGCCTTTGGGTGTGCAAGTGCAGCGCGGTGGGGTCTGAGGTGCGCCCCTTACCAAATCTGCCGAAACCGCTGTCGTGATGAGAGCGTAGGGCCCGTTAACCAGAGCGCCGCAGACGATCAGCATCGCTACGAGGAACGAGACGGCCGCGGAGGTACCCGGGAAGAGATTAAATCTTTAAGTGCAGGGAGCAGCAGGACGTCGGGTCCATCGTCCCCGGCCCGTGTGCGGACAATCACTGTCCCGCGCATCATCTCCGTTTTCTCCCAGAGATCCCACCCAACAGGCAGCGAACCCTCATCCAGCACCACCCTCCCCCAAATCCCGGACCGGGAGCCCGGCTCAGGAGAAGAAATAAAGGCAGGTGAGTCCGCAGCATCTCCCATCGCCCCTTTGGTGACGGCAGCCGGCTGCACCGAGGAGCTCCTTACCTATTGATGTGCCGATGCCATTCTGGCCGATATGGTTATACAGGAACAGCTGGAAAAGAGATTGAACCAGTTACGGCTATTCCAGCTGCTTTCCCAAGCGTTTTCCTTGCAGCAGCACCCCAGGGGCAGGGCGGAGAAGGTGGGGACCTGAATTATAGCCGGCGCCAAGCTTCGCAGACCCCCCCTACCCCCCCAGCTACAGCGCGGTGTC